TCCACCCTGACCACGCCCCCAGCCCCTCACTGGGGATTCTGGGCGGGGCTCCACCCTGACCACGCCCCCAGACCCTCACTGGGGATTCTAGGCGGGGCTCCACCCTGACCATGGTCCCAAGTCCTTACTGGGGTGTATGTGTGTGTGTATGGGTGGGTGCTCCATCCCATAGTCTTCTTGTTTACATTCTCTGTCCTATAATTTGAACCGCAGGTTTGTGCGCTGTAAATCCAGGCAGGTAGGTAGGTAAAGGATAAATTAGTGTTTAATCTGGTCTCCTAGCAAGGTATTTGGAAAGAAAGTAGCGTGACAAGTTGGCCCAACCTTGGGTTTGAGTGGGTCCCTTCAAGTCACTTGCTGTTTATTACTCTGAGGGATTATGTGTCTCAAGTTAACAGAGTTCCGTTTTTACACAGTGTCGCACAGACCTGGTCTGGGCAGCCCTAACCGATAGGGAATTATGGCTTACGCAAGGCACCTGAAGAGGACAGATGGAGAGCAAAGAAGGAGGGTCAGATCCCATCCACACCGACCCCAAGTTATTTTCCCTAGAGCCATAGGAAAAGTCCACTTTCCTGCAATGGAACAAAAGTCAATAAAAACAAAGCACGCAACAAAAGAAAGGGAGACGCCCTAAAATGGTAACACACTCATGACCCCAGCACTCCAGACACTGAGGCCGGAGGATGGAGCATTCATGCTAACCTGGACCTCATCTCAGAACAGACAAAACGGAGAGCGAGGGTCGGGACTGTGGTCAGCGCTTGCCCAGCACAGGGAGCCTTGGGCACTGCCCCCCAAGCCAGGCATGGTGCAGGCAGAGGCAGGACAATCAGGAGTCAGGGGCATCCTTGGCTACATAAGGAGTTGGAGGCCAGCCTGGGCTCTGTGAGACCCTCGGAAAGAAAGAAAAAACAACTGGAGACACAAGCGGACGCCACCCCCGGCGGGTCCGTCCCTTCTTGGTCCTCCGGGAAAACCCAAAGGCCGAGGGCCCTGTGGACTGTATGATTCCTAGTTCAGCGCTGGGTTGGCGTAAGGTTTAAACTCCTCTGACTCTGTCCCTGGAAAGGCAGCGACACTCTGCCTGCCCCGCAAACCCAGGTCCACCCGGCCTCTGCAAAGCCCGTGAGCGTGGGCTGCCGGCTCCGGTTCCGGCCTGGACAGCTCTGTGAGCCACCAGACCCTCCCCACCTGGGCAGGGCAAGGCCCTGCTGCAACAGGAATAAAAAGTAAGCAAGATAAGGGTAGACTAGAGGAAGGACAGGCTAAAGAGGTCTCTCCCAAGAGAAGTGCTCTGGAGGGGGGCAAGCGCAATGGTCCTCCCGAGTGGCCTTACCTGGAGCAGAAAGCAGCCGCAGCCCACAGCACCAGCTCTGGAAAGGGAAGAAGGAAGTAAGTTGTAATTGTCACCTTTATGCTTCCTCCAGATGACCCAGCCCATTTTCAGCCCCCCCCCCCCAGCCACGTGCATCAGCTTCCAGAAGAATGATGCCCTAAATTAATGTCCCACCTACGCCTTTGTCTGAGGCCTTAGAGCAGGCCTTGTGTGAGTCACTGCCTCGGAGGTGCTAGTTCCCTAACAGAGTGCCAAAGTGGGCGCTCAGGGTTCCTGGACCCCCTGTCTGAATGAAAAAGAGGGGGGCAGGAGAGCCCGCGCAAAGGCCCAGACGCGGTGAAAATTTTGTCCGGAGTTCTTTCAGCAGCCGTGGGAATGTTGTAAAGCAGATCTCCATGACAGCGGATGACGAAGCTGGAGTGGGTCACGAAGTCACCCTCTAGCACAGGGCACCGGAGAGCCGTAGAGGTGTGGGGCAGAGGGATGAGCTCGTGGGCTTGCGGACTCAGTGGACGGGACGGGCAGATGCCGGGGCGATGGTGCAGCAAGGTCATGCACTTGTGACTGAAAAGCCATCGTCTCCTTCCGTGAGTTCTCGTGGCTCTCGGGGAAGCTTTTCCCCCCTCTCATGGTGGATGGAGAATGTTCTGGAAGGTTAATTTCTCAATCAGAATCTGTCCTCTCTTGGGGACGGAAACCTCAGGCTGAAGTCTCCATTCTACCAAGTTGTTCTGCTTTGTTGAATGTCCTGGGGAACTGGTTCACTGAAGGAAGTGGTTGCCCTCTCTGAGGCTGGATTAGTCTGGATTAGTGACTCTTTCTTTACACAGAATGACTTCTGGGTTGTCATTCTTAATGTCACCATGCCCTAGGCCCACGGCCAAGCATTGGGTGAGTGAGTTTCGGACTCTGTGCAGCCTCCATGTGTAGATACCTCTTTCAGGAAGCCTCCCCAGACAGATGCCCCCATCCTTCCAGCTTTCTGAGTTCCGTGGGTTTCTGATGGCTCAAGCTGCTTCTCCTGGCTGGGCTGAGGACAAGACAGAAGAACCGGGAAACGCTGGATTGTATTTCATAGAATAAAATGAATTTTTTATTTGGTTTTTCAAGACAGGGTTTCTCTGTGTAGCTCTGGCTGTCCTGAAACTCACTCTGTAAACCAGGCTGGCCTTGAACTCACACAGATCTGCTTGCCTCTGCCTCTGGAGTGCTGGGATTAAAGGCGTGCGCCACCATGGCCCAGCATAAATAAAATGAATTCTAAAAGCAGGTCTCCAATGGCGGGCTGGAGGGCGCTTGTCATTTAAGATGTCTGTATGTGTGGTTGCGGCTTTGAGCCTGGCTTTCGGTCACCGAGGCAGCCAGAGCTGGGCTCTGTTCCCAACTTCTACGGCACAGCATGCTGACCCAAAGTCCAGCAGCAGGCCTCTTAGCTGAGATTTGATTTCTAGATGTCCCCCAAAAGCCACAAGGGGAGCTTGGCCCCAGCATGACTTCCTGCCCCAGAGGCAGTGCGTGGCGCCCTCTGGGTACCCCACCCACCTCTGGCAGTAAAGGGCTCGCTCTCATTTGACCCACGGCCAGATGGATTGTGGGGGAGGGGCGCTGGGGCGCACCACACCGTAGCACCCAGGTGTGAGGGCCCCTAAGGCCCCCGGGGCAAGAGGCGTTCATCCATCAGCAGGTCGCTGTGGGGTGCAGGCTGCGGTGGGATCCAGCGGGCTCGGGGCTGGCAGGAATTTTCCACACTCCTAAGCCCGACCTGCTGAGCCTGCTGCAGGTTGGAAGTCCCTGGGTGCAGCCCTGTGCAGTGATGAAGGCCAGACCGCTACACCAGGGGCTGACGCTCCCGGGGCAGTACCCTGACCCCGGGCTGAGCCCTGATCCTCAGCTGATCCGCTGACCCCAGGCTGAGCCCAGGCTGAGCCCTGATCCTCAGCTGATCCGCTGACCCCAGGCTGAGCCCAGGCTGAGCCCTGATCCTCAGCTGATCCACTGACCCCAGACTGAGCCCCGATCCTCAGCTGATCCACTGACCCCAGACTGAGCCCCGATCCTCAGCTGATCCACTGACCCCAGACTGAGCCCCGATCCTCAGCTGATCCGCTGACCCCGGGCTGAGCCCTGATCCTCAGCTGATCCACTGACCCCGGGCTGAGCCCTGATCCTCAGCTGATCCACTGACCCCGGGCTGAGCCCTGATCCTCAGCTGATCCGATGACCCCGGGCTGAGCCCTGATCCTCACCTGATCCACTGACCCCGGGCTGAGCCCTGATCCTCACCTGATCCACTGACCCCGGGCTGAGCCCTGATCCTCACCTGATCCGCTGACCTCGGGCTGAGCCCCGATCCTCAGCTGATCCACTGACCCCTGGCTGACCCCGGGCTGAGCCCTGATCCTCGGCTGATCCGCTGACCCCAGGCTGAGCCCTGGTTCTGCTTTGACTCCTGATCTTGGGCTGAGCCCAAGTTTTAACTGAGCCCCAACTCTGAATCTCAATTGCAGATAAGGGGAGGCTTAGGGTTCAGGACCCCAGTTCCATCGTGCCCCTTCTGACCCCTCCCAGAGAACACCATCTGTCCATGGAAACTAGGTAGGAATGACCCAGCAGCCCTGTCTGTGAATGACTAGAAATGAACCCCACGGTTCTATGTGTACATGTGTGTGTGTGCATGAGTGTGTGTGCCTGTGCATGCGTGCTCCTGTGTGTACGCATGACTGGAAATGAACCTTCAGCCCTGTGTGTACATGTGTGTACGTGAGTATGTATGTGTATGTGTGTGTGTGTGTGTGTGTGTGTGTGTGTGTGTGTGTGTGTGCATGCCAGGAAATGAACTCATAGTCCTGTATGTGTGTGTGAGTGCCTGTGTGTGTGTGTGTGTGTGTGTGTGTGTGCATACATGACTGGAAATGAACCTTCAGCCCTGTGTGTGCATGTGTGTGTGTGTGAGTGTGTATGTGTGTATGCATGTGTGTGTATGTGTGTATGCATGTGTGTGTGTGTATGTGTGTGTGTGTGAGTGTGTATATGTGTGTCTGTGTGTCTGTGGAGGCCAGAGGTCAGCCTCGACTGTCCACCTTGTTGTTCTGTCTTGTTTTCTGAGGGTCTCACTGGCCTGAGCTCCCCAGTTCAGCTGGGCTGTTCGAGTGAGGAGCCCAGGGACCGTGCTGTGTCCTCCTCCCCAGTGCTGGGTTACAGGTGAACACCACTAAGTGCAGCTTTCTCTGGGGGTTCTGGAGATTCAAACTCAGGCCCTCAAACTTGGCCCTCAAAGCACCCTGCTCGGAGTTGCCCCCCAGCCCTTTGATGGCAGGAAGCACCTGGGGGGGGTAGCCTGGCTTCATACACCTCTTCCCTGAGCACCCTGGCCCCTGCTTCAAGCTGCCACCTCAGCCACCGCCCTGGGATTTCATGTCTACAAACCACCTGTTGTGTGGTTTCCTGTTCAGAAATGTACTTCCTGGTCTCCCTTGTGCCCACCTTGATCACACAGCTGGGCAAAGCAAAGGACCCGAGAGGGTCAGAGGGACCAACCACTGATGGACAGGGACAGGCCTTGGGGTCAGGGGACCCAGCCCTGCCTTCCTCCCGACAGTGCTGTGGGCCCAGAGGCGTCGGCAGACCCTCTCTGAGCGAGAGATGCCACTGTCCAGAAGGGGGGTCCCTGGAAGTTCCTTCCTCGGGCTCAGGACCAGCTGAGGGTCTTGGCTCTCTCTCGTCAGGCCCCCAAGTGCCTACCTCAGCCCCAGCTTACAAGCCTGGTGGGACTTTGATCCCTGAGACCTGGGGGGCTGCAATGGCGGAGGGGTCTGCTCCCAGGCGGGGGAACGCTCCCCACCCTGCGACTCAGGGTGTGGGGGTACAGGACTCTCAGGCCCACGCCCGGCCCCCATGGACCCAGAATCTGCTCTTTCCCTGCTGTTCAAGCAAGCCCTAGCTGCGGCCTCCTGGCCCCTCCCCTCACGCCCAGCCAGGTGTGCTGTGTGGGTGGCTCGGGAGCCATGCGCACACAGGAGCTGGCTGAGGCCCGGGGTCACTGGTGGGCTCGTCAGCGCGCCCCAGGCCCCCCACGTTGTCGGCTGTCGGGGGCTCCTTCTGGCCCTCCACCTGGGCCAGGTGAAAATGTACCTCCGGCTTCCCTGTGGGGAAACTGAGGCCCAGAGAGCTCTTGAAATTCACCACTACCCATCCTAACCCATTCTCCCTCGGCGTTATTTTTTTTTAAATTTGTTTGTTTTAGGGTCTCACTCTGTAGACCAGGCTGGCCTCAAACTCACAGAGAGCCTCCTGCCTCTGCCTTCCAAGTGCTGGGATTAAAGGTGTGGGTTACCACCACCCAGCTCCCTAGCCATTCTTGAGAGTAGCAATCCCCCCAGACCAGAGCGTTCTAGAACATTCCAGAAATCCTCATTCACAGTCCTAACCCTGCAGCCCCTAACAGGCGGATCTGTGCTGAAATCCACATCCATCCGACCTCAGGTCTCTGGACAGTGGAGTGGTCCCAGCTCTCTCTGAACCATACCCTGCCTAGTCTGCAAACAGAAACAGCCCGTGCCAGCGCCATCTGTGGGGATGGGGGCTTCGCAATTATCCGTCCATGAACCTGAAAGGTCCTCACACATCTTCCTACAGAATTGTGCACATGAGCCGGAAACATCGTCTCTGTGTCCCCTCTGGAATTACTGATAAGAACTTTGGCCTGGCTGGGCAGCACTCAGGAGACAGAGGCAGGAGGATCTCTGTGAGTTCCAGGACAGCATGGGCTATGTAAAGACCCTGTCTAAACAAACAAACAAACAAACAAACAAGAGCTCAGCCTCCCCCTGCCTCCCATCCCTCCGGGACTGGGGGCGGCGGAATGCAGCCGGAGTCGGGGAAAATCCAGGTGACAGAAACCTGGCATGGCCTCGCGTCACCCGCCCCCGGCCTGTCCTCACCCCGGGGCCCTTGGCACGTCGGGGTCTGCCTGCCCTGGCACCCCAACCCCGCTGGGTTCATGCAGCTTAAGTTTCAGCTTGTGGTGGGCGAGGAGGCGGGCCAGGCACGCTTGATTTCCAATTTCTGGAAATAAATGTCACCAGGCCATCTTTTGTCAGGTAGAGGGAAGAAATTAAATAAAAAAGAAAAGGCGGGGGGGGGGGGGGGGCCCCTT